CTTTTTATCCCCTTTCTCCTGCTCTTCCCGCCTGCTACTCTGGGCGGGCCTGAGTTTCCTCTCCTCACCTAATCCCTTCGGCTGACTGCTCTTCTCTCTGGCTTCCTGGCTTTTAATCCCCTTTCTCCTGCTCTTCCCACTTGCTACTTCGGGCGTCCCTGAGTTGTCTCTCCTCCCCTGTAACCCTGGGGCTGACTGGGGTTGTAACTGGTATATCTTGTTAAGTCTGGGAGTAGTTGTATGTGGTAAAGGCCCTAGAACAACTCTAGGGACATGGCAAGTGATAAAATGTTATTATTAGGCCTATATTTGGGGTTCATTTTCAGGCAGGCACTTTTTTCACACTAAAGATGGCCCCCAGGAGCTCTGGGCTTACGTCACCCTTCCAGTCTGAGTCACCCCAAGAAAATGAGATTGGTCTTTTCCATATTCCAGCACAAATCCCAGGATACACTCTGATTGGCTCATCTGGGTCACATGCTCAGAGCTGAGCCAATTACTCTGACAGGCCAGGTGTGGATGGCCAAAAGGCCAGGAAGTGAGATCAGACCCCTGGAAACCCAAAGGTTCAGAGGACAGAGGGACGTTTGGGCGTTGAGCCGAGGAACATCTGGGAGTTGGTGGTGGTGGAGGCTGCCGGGTGGGATGAGTTAGGGATGGCCTGAGCATGGACCTCCCCTTGCTCCGCAGATGGCAGCGTGACCTTTGAAATGCTGCCCAGGCAGCAGTCTGTGTGCCAAGGGGTACAAGGTACTCACTCATCTCTTTGTCTTGTGGGGGGGGGGGATGGTGCACGAGCGCGGGCACTGGGAGGATGGAGGGATGCCGGGTACAGGCAAGAGGAGAGCGGTTAGGGGAGGAGATCTGGTGAGGGGCGTGGCAGAAAGAGAGACCACAAGCATGGGGACAGGGTCCGCGGGCCGTTCTGAACTGTCTGTTCCTGTCCCAGCTTTCAACTGTGGCATAGTATGGGCCGTATTCAACGGGGCCGACAACCAGATTCTGCTGCTGGTGGAGAACCAAGTCGCAGATGACAGGAAGCGTTATCTGGTGGTTGGCTACAAGCTAGGTAATTGGGGTGCGGTCGGCGCGGAGTGCGAAGGGCCAGGCGCCCAGGTTGTGGACTGTGTGCCTAAAGGGATCTGTGCCCAGCAGGCAGCTGGAAGTTACTACAGTATTGCTTATGTTCCACCTGGGTGAGGAGTAGTGGTGGAGAACTGGGTCAAGGCTTGGTGGACTGGACGTCAGTATGGGTAGGACAGAGGGAGTAAGGGGAGAGAGATTAGTGGGGAGAGACTGGGGAGGCGAGTAGGAGCCAGAACCCACAGGGCCTTGGGCTCACAATGAAGAGAGTGGATCTTACTTTATGTGCAGCACGAACAGGGCAAGTACAGTTGTGCAGGCCGTGCACTGCACATGAACCATGCAGGCATGTGGTCAGAGGTGGCACAGTCTCTGCTCTGCCAGGACTGCACCCTCTCTGAGGCTGCGCCTTTTATAATTAATAATTCACACAAAGAAGGCCCCCAGCTCTTAGGGGTTTTACGGGAGTCGGGTTGGAAGCTAGTGACTTATTCTTGCTTTAGTTTTGAATGCTCAAGGTCTTGAGACCTCAGTCAGGAGACCGTCCTGTGCTTTCTTCACCTGTAGTCACAGAAGAGCTGTCCATCCTCTACGAGATCCCGGAGTTCATCCCTAACAGTAGGAGGGGGAGGCAGAGGAGGCAGAGGAGGTGGGCAGGGACCAGGAGGGCCCCGGTGACTCCACCCCACCGCTGTGTCCGTTCCGCCTCTGCCCCGTCAGCTCGAGGCCCGGAATTCCTGATGATCCAAAGGGCAGAGTCTTACACCAACACCCCGTTGGTACCCCAGGGCATGTCTTACAACCCATACAACAACCTGCTGTTCATCTGGGGCAACGTCCTCCTGCAGAGGTGGGCCCCCACCCCACCCCTCCCTGGCAAGCCAGCCTGCTGCTGCCTCCCCAGCCCCACTGGGTGGTAGAGGAGGCGTAGGAAGGGAGCAGGCACCAAACTTCACAGGATGCCCAAGTCCAGGCCTTATCAGGACCGTGATGGGGAAGATACGGGCCAGGCTGGCCAGGGCCAGGATGGGAGAAGCCCCTATTGTGAAGCTGTGGGAGCCGTTCCTAAATGAACCTGACACTAGGACCCAACCTATTTGACAAGGAAAAGGGCACTGTCTCTGGGAAAGGTTGGACCCCATCACACCCAGCCACCCCTTCACTCCCGGGGTCCCTAAGCCACTCCACAGACTGTTGGCAAATGCTCCATTGGTCCCCTGCTTCTCTTCTAAAGATGGGACATGGGTGCTTTAAGAGGGCAGAAAGCCACTGAGTAGCTTGCGGTGGGAGGCAGCAGCTAGGTGTCCAGGCTCCCTCTGCATGTCCTCACTTGGCTGTAGGAGTAACTGAGGAAACAGCTCCTACATTGTGTTAGGCTGGGAGTGGGGCGGGGGTGGGGCAGATATCCTGCACCTGACTTGGGTGCCCCTAGCTCCCCATCACCTGCTCCTGCAGCTACGACCATGAAAACTACATCTATGTGGCGGACTTTCCCAAGGAGTCAAGCATCAAGTATCTGGTCAACTCATTCCGTGGGGACCTGGCTGTTGTCACAGTGAAGGAGGAGGTGGGCTGCCCTGCCCCTCTCCCTACCCCATTTCCACCCACACTTGAGCCCCAGGCACTTCTCTGCTGTCAAGGTAAAGGGGCTCAGGGAGGGAGCACCCTCAGGGACCCTGAGGAAAGATAGCAAAGTTCAATTTATAGCTGAGGACCCTGGAGCTCAGAGAGGGTAGGTGTCTTTTCCAAAGTCACAGAGCAAAATGAAAGACTTGTGCTCAGAGACATGATCTGCTTCCCAGAGTAGGCCTTCTGCTTTCATCCTTCCATCACACAGTTGTTTATTTCACAGATACCGAGCCCTTACTGAATGCCTGCCCCAGTACTTGGGACACAGCAGTTACTACCCTGACTGGGCTCACAGTCCCTTTGGGAAGACAGAACCATGCCCAGGCAGTAATAGTTCAGAGTGATCAGAGCTAGGACCGGAGAAACACTGACAGGGGGGTTGGGCCAGGATGGGGAAGATACAGAGAGGGGTCAGAACGAGATGGGGGAGACACTACCTATCAAAGTTCTTAAAAGAGACCTGGTGGGATATATCAGGGAGGGCTTCTTGGAGGAGGCCACTTGGAGGTAGTGCATCCTGAAAGGTAGACCCCAGGCTGAGGCTCAGGAGGGAGGTGAGGTCTGGGGTCAGATGTGGGGGCAGTGTGTGGGCATCAGTGCTGAGGTGGGAAACAGGTCAAGAGAGTGGTGAGACCCTGCAGGGTACAGAGAATAAGGAGAAAAAGAGGGAGAAAAGGCTTTTAGGGAGTGCATGTGTTAGGAATGCTTGGGTTGAAAGTAGCAGAAACCCCCACTCAAAGGACTGAAATGTTGAAGAGATGTATTATGCAGATGGGGACTGGAGCCAGAAGTGGTCAGGGTTCTGGGAAGTAGAGAGATGGCACTGCCTAGAGAAGGCATATAGGGTTATGTGGTTCTGGCTGGGGTCAGAGGTCCTCATGGCCCTTACACATGTACATGTACATGTGTGTACACACACACAAACACACACACACCAGGTTGCTTCATTCTCAGATCTGGTACCTCCTGGAGGGCAGCTTCGACATGTACAAGCTTTTCCCATCTGAGGCCTGGAGTCTGCACTTCAGCCTGCAAGTGATGTTCCGGTCATCTCTATACACCGCCTTCGAGACCATGATCACCCTCTTCTATGAACACAACAAACTGTACCAGGTGCCACCCAGAGGACTCAAGGGAGAAGGGAGGTGTGCCACAGGTGGTTGACACCAGCTCACCTGACCTGGCCTTCGCGGTGCAGCTGGTGTACCTTACGGAAGGCCACAGGAACCGTCTGGTCAAGAGACTCGTGCCTGTGGAGCAGCTCCTGATCTACCTGAAGCTGAACAACAGCTACGTCTTGAAGAAACAAGGGTGAGAAGGCACTGCCCCCAGCAGTCGTCAGAGAGTCTCAGGCACCGCCCTCAGGAAGGTCCCTTCAGGAGGGGAGACTGAGCCATCCCCAGTCATAGCCCCAGGGCTATGATGGGAGAGGCTGAGTACCCAGAAGCTCAAAGGAGGGGCCAGCCCAACATGGAGGGAGGGCACTACAGGGAAGACTTCCTGGAGGAGGAAGTGACCTGCAGGAGGAGAAAGAATTAGCCAGGTGATAAAGTGGGGAAGGGTGTTCTAGATAAGGGGAAACACATATACAAAGGCCTTAAGGAAAGGAGAGAGCTTGGTACTCAGGAACTGGAAGTACAGTGCAGATGGAGTAATGATGATGGGAGACAGAGAGAAAGTAAGGCTGGTGTTCGGTCATAGAGAAGAGCTTGGACTTCATCTTGAGGGTCCTGGGGAATCATGGGTGGGAGCAAGGGGAGGGATGACATGGTCAGATTTTACTGTACTTGTTAATGATCCTTCTGGTCACTTGAGAGGGCAGGTAGGACACAGGCTTAGGAGTTGGTGTAGATAGGCTGGTGGGGACTGACACGGGTGAGGGACATCTAGGAAGAGGCATGCCAGGACTCTGCATGGGGGACTGAGGGACATCTAGGGGGTCCATCCAGAGGCTTCTCAGCACCGACAGCTGAAGCTCAAGATTGGAGTTAAGTTTAGGGGAGTCCACAGGGCAGAGACGGGGAACGGGGTTGCGGAGGTAGCTGGTGACCCTGGCTCTGAGAGTCAGCCACCACCCCCCACTGCCGTCCACCAGGAAGTTCCTGGTGCCCACCATTAACAACTACTGCCCCTTCACGGTGATGCGCCTGCAAGACCTGCCCAACCCGCAGAGGTACACGCGCCAGGAGCGCTACCGGGCGCTGCCGCCGGGCACCTTCGAGACCTTGGGCTTCCACAATGAGAACTCACTCGCTGTCTACCAAGGCCTCGTGTACTACCTGCTCTGGCTGCACTCCAAGTATGACAAGGTGGGCAGCTGGCAGCCAGGGGACGGCAGGAGGGCAGCTCTAGTCTGAGCTAGGACCCAGGGAGAGACAGTGAAGAGGCCCAGGGACTGGGAAGAGTAGAGCAGAGCGGAGCAGGGCTGGTGAGTGTAAGGCCAAGGAGGGGCTGAGGGAAGGGGACGGGGGCTGGAGGTGAGGCCTGGCTTAAGCAGGGCTGTGAAGAGCCAGGGAGCCCTTGGGGCACAGCAGTTAAGCGCTGGGCTGTTAACTGAGAGTTGGCAGTTGGAAACCACCAGCTGCTCCAAGAGACAAAGATGAGGCAGTCTGCTTCCATGAAGATTAGAGTCTCAGAAACCCAGTGGGGCAGTTCTGCCCTGCGCTGGGGAGTCAGAATCAACTCCGTGGCAGTGGGTTGGGGGTTTTGAAGAGATGGCTTTAGGAGTGTGGCCAGGCTGCTGTGGGCCTGCATGCTGGCCTTGGGGGTGGGCTGTAGGATATATTTCCCTATTTGGGTTACGGGCTGGCACCAAGCCTAGGCAGGGGCCTAGTGACGCAGCTTGGTGCCCCGGCCCACACTTCATGATGCCCGATGATCCCTGCAGCCATATGCAGACCCAGTGCACGACCCCACCTGGCGCTGGTGGAAGAACAAGAAACAAGACCAGGTCAGTGGAGAGGGCGCAGAGTCAGGCAGCGAGGGAGGCGCAGGCGTTCCTGGCAATGCCTCGCTCATCCCGTGCCACGCCCACCTCCAGAGTTACTACTTCTACCTGTCAAGCAACTGGCAGAGCTCCGGGGGCGTGTACATTGATATGGACAGCTATGGAAAGATCTATAACCTCAAGGCCGAGGCCGAGCTGCCTGAGCGCATTTTCCTAGACAAGGACACCTTCTACACTTTCTCCGTCTTACTCACCACCCGGGACTGGACCGAGCCCTCATCTGGTCTGTGTGGCCTGAAGGGAGGTGAAGGGGCAGAGCAAGGGTCACGGCCAGGCTGCCTGTCTTGGAGGGCTTGGGTCTGGGGTCAAGGCGCTACCTGAGGGGCAGTGCTTCTGTTGAATCTGGGACATGGGCCTTAACTGCTCTCTTTGCTCCGAGCAGGCACTTCCTTCATTCAGGAGAGTCAAGTGAGCCTGGGCGTGGTGCTAGCCCACCCACACTGCATCAAAGTGGCAGTAACAAAGAAATCCCTTATTAGTCGCAGTTCTGTGTCCTTCGAGGTGAGACTTGGTGGGAAGGGGCTTCCAGTGTGGTGTGGCTCCCTCAGAGTAGGAATGGAAGCCTACCATCCCCCTCCTCCACCAGCTGTGGGTCATGTTGAACCAGCTGGCTCCTTTACCCCATCATTTCTGCCCCACCCCTTACCCCCAGGTGACACTCAGAGACAAAAGCTCGTGCTTTAACCAGGGCCTCACTGGGCATCACCTCAAGAGGACCTCAATGCTGGTCAAGGTGCAGCCCAAACCTGAAGGGGAGGGATGTGGGATGCAGAGAAAGACGGGGGCCCACCATCCTCCCCTGCTCCCACCCACAGGTGGTAGGTGCAGCTGGACATTGTTTCCAGAACACCCACATGGAGCCGCGCATGCAAGTATTGGTGCTTGGGGTACTGGGCCCTGTGTGGGGAGGGAAGGGGTGTGGACGGGTCGGGTCTCCACAGGGTTGAAAACTGTTGAAAGACTGAAGGGCCTGCTTGCCTGGTGCTTACCCTTGGGATCCTACCAATGCATTCATAGTTTTCTTATTCATTTTCTTCATTCACCTGCCCACGTACTCCTTTCATCCATCGGTGTTTTCACAAAGGGCTGCCTTACAGGTGTGTCCGGTGCACACAAGCTTCTCTATCATCCTGACACTTCTGCAAGGGGACATCAGAGTCCCGTGGGCCAGTGTGGCCCTTCTTTTATACATTGCACTTCATCTGCTGGCTCTGATGTTTCTTTTGTTCACTTCTTTGGGTCCTGGGTCTTTCGCTGGCTCACACAGTCAATGTCCCCCACACACAGAGCAAATACTGAGGCTCAGAAAGGTGCAGGTATCCACTGCAAGCAACCCAAGTAGCTAGTAAGTGGTGGAGGAGAGACCTTGTTCTCACCCTCACCCCTGCTCCACTCCTTCACAGACACCCTGATGCTCCTCCCTTCTTTCCGGCTTGGAATGACCATGACCATGGGCAGCTAAAAGGGGGTGTGGGATGGGCCCACCTCCTTGGAGTACATGAGATAATCCAGGTCAATCATGCAATAAGGGCTTCCTGCTGTCCTTAATGATAATCATCGTTTTACTCTCTCATAACCCCAGGGGTTCAGAGCACACATCCCCATCCTTAGCAATCTACCCTAGACCCAGTAGACTCCTTCCAGGAAATTAATCTGCAACATAATGTTGTTGCACCTTTGTCTGTGTTGAAACCAACCTAAATGTCCATCCACAGTGGAGTGGTTAAAGAAAGTATACTATGCAGCGGTTAAAAAAGAGAACAAAGAAAGGGGTTCTCCATATATCAGTGTGGAATGACCTCCTAAGTGTATTTTATTGCTAAGAGGTAATTGAGACCATATATTCATGTTTGTTTTATTCACGAGCACTTTTATTTGAAAACATAAACAAGAAAGTGTTACAGTGGTTCCCTGCTTTGGGGGATGGGGAGATGCTGGACAGTGGGGGATGAAAGTGAAATGTTTCATGTTTATCTTTACACACACACACACACACACACACGCCCCTTCCCTGGATGGTGCAAATGGTTCAGTGCTCAGCTACTAGTCGAAAAGTTGTTGATTTGAACCCACCCAGAAGTGCTTGTTTGTGCCAAGAATTTTGGAAGACAGCTGACTGGAAGAGATCCATATTTGTGCTCATTCCAAAGAAAGGTGATCGACAGAATGCAGAAATTATTGAACTATGTCATTAATACCACATGCAAGTAGAATTTTGCTGAAGACAGTTCAAAAATGGCTGCAGCAGTACATTGGCAAGAAACTGCCAGAAATTCAAGCAGAATTCAGAAGAAAGTATGGAATGAAGGATATCATTGCAGATGTCAGATGGATCTTGGCTGAAAGCAAAGAATGCCACAAAAATGTTTACTTGTGTTTTATTGACTATGCAAAGGCATTCAACTGTGTGGATTGTAACAAATTATGGGTAATACTGTGACGAATGGGAATTCCAGAACACTTCATTGTACTCATGAGGAAGTTGTACATATAGGCCAGGAGGCTGTTGTTAAAAAGAACAAGGGGACAGTGCATGGTTTAAAATCAGGAGAGGTGTGCATCAGGGTTGTATCCTTTCACCATACTTATCCAATCTGCATGCTGAGCAAATAATCCCAGAAGCCAGATTGCATGAAGGAGAGCATGGCATCAGGATTGGAGGAAGACTCATTAACAACCTGCGATATGCAGACGGCACAACTTTGCTTGCTGATCAGCACTTACTGATCAAGATCAAAGACTACAATCTCCAGTATGGATTACACCTCAACATAAAGAAAACAAAAACCCTCACAACCAGACCAATATACAACATCTTGATAAATGGAGAAGACATTGAAATTGTCAAGGATTTTGTTTTACTTGGATCCACAATCAATGTCTATGGAAGCGGCAGTCAAGAAATCAAACATACTACACTGGGCATATCTGCTGCAAAAGACCTTTTTAAAGTGTTTAAGAGCAAAGATGTCATTTTGAAGACTAAGGTGCACCTGACCCAAGCCATGGTATTTTCAGTGGCTTCATATGTATGTGAAAACTGGTCAATAAATAAAGAAGACTGCAGAAGAATTGATGCTTTTAAATTGTGGTGTTGGCAAAGAATATTGAAGGTACCATGGACTGCCAGAAGAACGAATAAATCTGTCCTGGAGGAAGTGGAGCCAGAATGTTCTTTAAAAGCAAGAATGGCCAGATTTCATCTCTCGTACTTTGGTCACGTTGTCAGAAGGATTATCATGTGAGAGGGATTGGCAGTGGCTGCAACAGTGGGCTCAAGCACAGTAGCACACGGGAGGATGGCACAGGATTGGGCAGTGTTTCACTCTGTTGTACACAGGGTCGCTATGAGTCAGAAATGAATCAGTGGCACCTAACTACAACAGAAGCACCTTGGATGACTGTCTTAGTGGTCTGCTTTCAAAGAGTCAGAGTCTTGAAAACCCTGTGAGCGGTTCTGCCCTGCACACATCACGTTGCCATGAGTCAGAATTAACTGGGTCACAACTAACAACAATAATATACACGTATATATTATGGGAGCTCTGGTAGCATAGTGCCTAAGGCACTTGACTGCTAACCAGAAGGCTGGCAGTTCAAACCCACCAGCCACTCCTCGGAAGGAAGGTTGGGCAATCCTACTTCCGTAGTGATACTGCCTCAGAAACCCAAGGAGGGGTCGCTCTGAGTCGGGCCTGACTCGATGGCAAATAACAACAACAACAACATATATTATGTGGCCCAGGTAAGGCCAGGGACCCAGGCCATGTGCCCCCGAAGTGGTGGGAAAGCAGAGAAAAAGCCAGGGGGAACCAGGACAGAGTGAGGAAGCAGAGGCAGGGATCCAGGTAAGATCAGGGACCCAGGCCACACCCCCAAGTGGCAGGAAAGAGGCAGGGATCCATGTAAGGGGAGGATGGAGAGGTATTGAACAGCTAAGGAAGACAAACTTGTCTGTCAGTTTATCCTACTGTGGTGGCGTGTTGCTGTGAGGCTTGAGGCTGTGCCACCAGTGTTTCAAACCCAGTAGGGTTGCACGTGGTGCACAGGATTTAACAGCTTACAGACTGAGATAGACTAGGAAGAAGGAGGAGGCCATCCACTTCTCAAAGAACTGGCCAGGGAAAACCTTATGAATAGCAGAGAAATACTGTCTGACACATTACGGGGCAAATTTATGAATAGCCTGGAAACATTGTCCAATACAGTGCTGGAGGATAAGCCATTTAGGTCAGAAGGCTCTCAAAATAGGACTGGGAAAGAGCTGCATTATCAGAGGAGAACCAGCCTTACTGATATGGATAAGGTAAAGCTTTTGTTTGAGACCTCATTTGCTGATGTGGCACAACTCAAATTGAGGAGAGACAGGTGCAAACACCAATTAATAACTGGAACATGGAATGTAAGAAGTATGAATCTAGGAAAATTGGAAGTTGTGAAAAATGAAATGGAATGCATAAAGATTGATATCCTAGGCATTAGTGAGCTAAAATGAACTGGTTTTGGCCATTTTGAATTAGACAACCATGTGGTCTACTATGCTGGGAATGACAATTTGAAGAGGAATGGCATGGCGTTCATCATCACAAAGGATATTTCAAATTCTGTCCTGAAGTACAATGCTGTCAGTGATAGGATAATATCCATATGCCTACAAGGAAGACTAGTTAATACGACTATTATTCAAATTTATGCATCAACTACCAAAGCCAAAGATGAGGAAATTGAAGATTTTATCAGCTTCTGCAGTCTGAAATTAACTGAATGTGCAATCAGGATGTGTTAATTATCACTGGTGACTGGAATGCTAAAGTTGGAAGCAAAGAAGAATCACTGGTAGTTAGAAAATTTGGCCTTCATGACAGAAATGACGCTGGAAATTGCATAATAGAATTTTGCAAGAGCAACGACTTATTCATTGCAAATACCTTTTTTCAACAACACAAACGGCGGCTATACACATGGACTTTGCCAGATGGAATGCACAGGAATCAGATTGACTACATCTGTGGCCATACATGATGGAAAAGCTCAATATCTCCAGCCACAAGGCCAGGAGCTGATGGTGGAACAGACCATCAACTGCTCATATGCAAGTTCAACCTGAAGTTGAAGACAATTAAAACAAGTCCACAAGAGCCAAAATATGATCTTGAATATATCCCTCCTGAATTTAGAAACCATCTAAAGAATAGATTTGATGCAGTGAACACCAGTGACCGAAAACCAGAAGAATTGTGGTATGGCATCAAGAACATCATCCATGAAGAAAGCAAGAGGTCACTAGAAAGATAAGAAGAGAAGAGAAGACCAAAATGGATGACAGAAGAGACTCTGAAACTTGCCCTTGAGCAGAGAGTAGCTAAAGCCAATGGAAGAAATGACAAGAGAAAAGAGCTGAACAGAAGATTTCAAAGAGCAGCTCGAGCAGACAAAGCCAATTATTATAATGAAATGTGAAAAGACTTGGAGTTAGAAAACAAAAAGGGAAGAACATGCTTGGCATTTCTCAAGCTGAAAGAACTGAGGAAAAATTTTAAGCCTCAAGTTGCAATATTGAGAGATTCTGTGGGCAAAATATAGAATGATGCAGGAAGCATCAAAAGAAGATGGAAGGAATACACAGTCACTGTACCAAAAAGAACTGGTAGATCTTCATTCATTTCAGGAGGTGGAATATGCTCAAGAACCAATGGTACTGAAAGAAGTCAAAGCTGCACTGAAGGAATTGGCAAACGAAGAACAAAGCTCCAGGAGTTGACAGAATACCCATTGAGATGTTTCAACAAGTGGATGCCCCACTAGAGGCACTCACTCAGTTATTCCCAGAGATTTGGAAAACAGCTACCTGGCCAGCTGACTGGAAGAGATCCATGTTTGTACCCATTCCAAAGAAAGGTGACCCCACAGAATGTGGAAATTATCGAGCAATATCATTAATATCACATGTAAGTTAAGATCTTAATTTAAAAAAAAAAAAAAAAAACGGTTGCAGCAGTTTATTGACAGAACTTCCAGACGTGCCAGCTGGATTCAGAAGAGGATGTAGAACAAGGGCTATCATAGCTGCTGTCAGATGGATCTTGGCTTAAGGCAGAGAATACCAGAAAGATGTTTACTTGTGTTTTATTGATTATGCAAAGGCATTTGATTGTGTAGATCATAATAAATTGTGGATAACATTGAGAAGAATGGGAATTCCAAAACACTTGATTGTGCTCATGAGGAACATATACATTGACCAGGAGGCTGTTGTTCAAACAGAAGAAGGGGACACTGCATGGTTTAAAATCAAGAAGGGTTATTATCCTTTCCTCATGCTTATTCAATCTGTATGTCAAGCACATAATCCACGAAGCTGGACTGACTATATGAAGAAAAACGTGGCATCAAGATTGGAGGAAGAATCATCAACAACCTATGATACAGTGACAACACAACTTTGCTTGCTGAAAGTGAGGATGACTTGAGGCACTTACTGATGAAGATTGAAGAATACAGTCTGCAATATGGATTACGTCTCAGTTAAAGAAAACAAAAATCCTCACAACTGGACCAATAAGCAGCATCATGATAAATGGAGAAAAGATTGAAGTTGTCAAATACTTCATATTGCTTGGTTCTACAATCGGTGCCAATGGAAGCAGCAGTCAGGACATTAGATGATGTATAGCACTGGGCAAGTTGGCTGCAAGGGACCTCTTTCAAGTACTGAGGAGCAAAGATGTTTCCTTGAGGACCAAAGTGTGTCTAACACAAGCCATGATACTTTCAGTCACCTCATATCCATGTGAGAGCTGGACAATGAATAAGGAAGACCAAAGAAGAATTGATGCTTTTGAGATGTGGTGTTGGCGAAGAATGCTGAAAGTACCATGGACTGCGAAAAGAACAGATCTGTCCTGGAGGAAGTGCAGCCAGAATGCTCCTTGGAAGCAAGAATGGCCAGACTTCATCTCACCTACTTTGGTCATGTTGTCAGAAGGGATCATTCCCTGGAAAAGGATATCATGCTTGGTAAGGTGGAGGGTTGATGGACTGACACAGTGGCTACAATGATGGGCTCAAGTATAGCAAGGATTGTGGAGCTGATGTGAGATAGGGCAGTGTTTTCATTCTGCTGTGCATAGGGTCACTATGAGACATGACTCGAGGCCACCTAACAACAGCATATATTTTTGAACCATGTGATCATATTACTACCATTGAGTCAGTTGTGACTCATAGTGACCCCCACTGGGTTTGCAAAGGTGATAAATCTTTACGGAAGTAGTTTACCCCACCTTCCTTCCATTGAGCAGCTGGTGGGTTTGAACTGCCAAACTTCTGGTTAGCAGCCTTAGGCAGTGTGCCACCAGAGCTCCTTTGTGCCTGTATTAGCAGTCTAAAATTTAAGTTTTTTAAAAAAGCCAATGATTTTTTTTGTCCCTATTTTAGAGATGAGTAAACAAAGGTAGTGAAGGTGGGGTATAGTCTGGGCTTTTCTTTCTTCCTATTCTCTGGCCGGGGCCCTTCCATGTTTCTTAGCCCTCTCTTTCCCCACCACCACCACATTACTAGATAAGAGGCATGTGTGTCTGGAAGGTTTAGAGCCTCTCCCTGGCTCCTCAGCGTGGAAAAAAAAAAAAAATGGAAACTGGAACCACTTATACGCAGTGGGTTCTCAACCAGTGAATGTTTGGGATGAAAGAAGGAAGAAGCTAATTTACACATAGTAGGTGCTCAGTCAATTTCAGTTGGATGACTGAAGCCTTCGGGGCTTCTCTGGAGCCTGAGACCAAGTGCATAGACCGAGAACAGATTCTGCTCCCTGGGTGTATGCAGCCTATTCGCTCACTCAACCAAAATTTATGGAGTGCCTATCAGCACATGCCAACAGCATTTTAGAACGGGCTGATGGCCCAGTCAGGGAGACAGACAATAAGCAAGATTAAATGGAGCGAATGTTAAGAAGTGAGATAGATCCATTTTCAGCAAGGTGATGGGGACGGCCCTGCTTAAGAGGAAACGTGAGAGCATGGACATGAAGGGGTGGGGTGGGGTGTGCGGTAAAGGCATGCCAGGAAAAAAGAACACATGATGGAAAGGCCTTAAGGGAAGAGCCATGTTTCATGTGTGAAACTGAAGGAACAGTGGGGAGTAAGTGTGGCTGGATCAAGGTGAGCAGGGCGGGAGGTGGAAAGAGATGAGCTCAGAGGTATGGGCCATGGTGAGTGAGATGGAGCTACATGGAGGACAGATGTGGTCTGACAGGTGTTCACAGCGTTCCTCTGACTTTGTTTGGGGGACAGACTGGAGGGTGGGCCTGGAGCGGGAAGACCAGGTAGGAGACAAGGTTAAAGCAAAGGAGCTGGGGAATGGGCAGGTTCTGGGTCTGTTTTGCAGATTTGAGACAACAGGATAGGCTGATGGACCAGATGTGGGTGTGAGAGAAAGCAAGCTTTCAAGGATGAGGCCAAAGCTTTTGGCCTGAATAGCCAGAGGAATGGAGATGCCATTAACAGAGATGGGGAAGAAGTGGGTTCAGAACACACTGACTGAGATACCCTCAGACCTCCCTGTGAGGGTGTAGCTGACAGACATAAAAGCCTGGCTGGGCAAGTGCTCAACCCTGGCCCCTGACCCCTTTCCCCAGTCCCCATGAAGTCCAGGTCACAGCATCTGGATGCCCATGACTCATAACAATTGGGTGAAACCTCTCTAGAGCCCTGCCCCCCAAAGCGGTCCCAGGGGCTTTTCATTCTGAAGACAGTCTTCCTGCATAGACCCCCCCATGCCCATGTGTCTAAACCAACTGCCATCAAATTGATTCTGACTCTTAATGACCCACACAGGCCTTTCCTAGTGTGTCAGTCTGTACAGGAGCAGACTGCCTCATCTTTCCCTCACTGAGCAAGCAGCTGGAGGGTTCGAACTGCCGACCTTCTGTTGGCAGTTCAATGCCTTAACCACAGCGCCACCAGAGTCCCTTGTTCATGGGTCTACTATTCAGAAATTCAGGCCAACTTCAGCTCTATAAAGCTTTGACTAGGAGTTGGATTCCTAAGTGTAGATGTCAGTGGTCTGATAGGTCCTCTTCTGGAGACAGCTGGAGCCCCCCTGCCTCAGTTCCAATCCTAGCTCTCCCACTCACCAGCTGTGTGACTCTGGCCAGTTAATAAGTTGCTTGCCCCTTCTCGGCTTCGCTTTTCCCGTCTCTAATAGTCTCTACCAAGCAGGGCTGTTGGGAAGATTCATGAGCTTGAATATGTAAAGCAGTGAAAAATATCACCCAGTGCCTCCTTGCACACAACATAAGCTACACAAGGGTTTGCAGCGATCAAAAGTATTATTTTAACGATAAAAACGATCATACTGCCTTCGGTAGTGAGGGTGAGCTGCCCACATGGGGGTCGCTTCCCCCTCCCTAGTCTGGGGGAGCGTGAGGAGACCCTGGTTTCCCAGCGCTAGCCTTTTCTCCTTCCACTCAGGGCAGGCAACCTGATGGTGCCAGTGCTTATCGGCTGCCCCCCGGGCAAGCGCCTGGCCTTTGACATCACCCTGACGCTGTCCTACTACCGCCAGCAAAACAAACACTACTTCGACTGCTTGCAAGCCGACCCCGAGATGCCCTGCTTCCTCTTCCGCAACAGTGGGTCCTGCGCCTTCCCGGTCCTCTAGCCCTCGCAGCCTCCCAGCCCTTGGTCCGCCCCGGCCCTCTGCCTCTGTTCCACCTCTCTCTCCTCCCTTGCGGGGGACCAGCTGTGCTTTCCCCACGTTGTCCCTGCCCCTTCCGCCCCCCTGTCCCGTCCCTACCTCTCCTCCAGGTCTCCGTTTCCTCCTCCCCTTTCTCCCCACTCTTTCCCTCCATCCACCCCTCCTACCCTTCTCTTCTCCCGAAGCGCTTACGCTCCTCGCCTCCTGCCCGACCCGGCACCTTCGCCTTTCCCACAGCCCAGCGCTACTTCCCACCTTTCCAGCCCAGCTCTCTGCTTCCTCCCCGTCCTTCGCTGTTCCGGCCAAGCTAATTTTTTCTCCTCTTGTTTGAAACCCCTCCTATCCCCTGAAGCCTTCTACCCCTTCTTCTTGGTCCAAGATTTGGTGACGGGAGAATCGGGCAGATTTCTAGGCAGGTAAGGGCAGGGGCAGCCTTGTGGGGCGGGGTAGGGGGATGCAGGACTCGAGAGCCGGTCCATGAGCTTCTCTGCCCTCGCAGCTACGTGTTTAAGGTGGTGGGCGGAGGGCCCACCCGGGACAACATCAGGGACTACAGCGAGGAGGAAATCTTCCGCTACAACAGCCCCTTGGACGAGTAATCCCTTGGGCCCCTGCCCCTACCCGGCCTTCTGTACCCCGCGGGGCGCAGGCGCTCCCCGCAGACCTCCTCCCCCTCCTTCCCCCTCCACCTCCTCCCTCCCCCTTCCTCGCTAATTCAACCCCAGCTCTGCGTCCCAGGGGTGTCCCAGGCCCAGCCCGTCATCCGCCTGGCAACCTCCGCGCCCCCCATGCTACGAGGCCCCGCCCACTCACAGGTCCCGCGCCCCTATCAGAACCTCAGCTTCCGCAGACGGGACCCTCCCCTCACTGAAGTCACTGGACCCTACACAGAACCAACAGCCTCATTTGGACCGTGAAGAACAGGACACCCTCAATGAGCTGGAGAGTCAAGGGGAGAAGGGTAGCCTTCGGGACCAGGAGGACCTTGGAGGACAGGGACTTCCACATCATCAAGTCTGACCTGAGCGTGGGCATCGAGTAAGTGTGCGCCCGGCTACAGACCCTTGCAGACCCCCTTCTTCCGCCTCCTGCCCACAGTCCATGGGCCTGGTTCGCCCTTCGGTCCCTGGAAGGCTTTCTGATCCCCAAACCAGGTTGGACCACCTTTGTGTTCCTCAAATGAGGTCAGCTTTTAGCTAAGATGGACCCCTGTCGGGAATGAGCATCTCTCCTATGCTTCCTTCAGGTTGCAGTTCATCCAGAGGGCTTTGGACTGCTCCAAAGGGGGGCGGAGGCCTCCCCTCGGCTCCTCTAGCCTCCAGTGCTTTCCCATCCCAGCCTGGCCCCTCTCAGCCCATCCCCAGCCACTCTGCCTGCACCTCCCCAGTCTCCACCAACCACTCTAGACTGTCACTGTCTCATAGAGGCTACCAGTGAAGCTCTTGAATAGACTCCACGTAGTATTTGTTGAATGAGGGAATGAATCCATTAATTCATGTTAGACATTTATTGACATTTGGACGGAGGTGTTAATGAGTTAAAATCCTGGATGGTGCGAGCAGTTTGCTCAACTGCTAACCTGAAAGTTGGTGGCTCCAACCCACTCATTAGCACCACAGAAGAAAGGACTGGCAATCTGCTTCCATAAAGATGGCAGCCAAGACCCTATGGAACAGTTCTCCTCTAACATGGGGTAGCCATGAGTTGGAATTGATTCCATGGCAACTGGTGTGGGTTTTCTGGTTTGGGTATTGAAGGATGAATGAAACAGTAGAGGTACATGGTGGTACTCAAACCCAAGACTGAAGCCACTGCCATCAAGTCAATTCTAACTCTTAGCAATTCTGTAGGACCCAGTAGAACTGCCCTACTGGATTTCCAAGGCTGGAAATCTTTACGGAAGCAGACTGCCTCATCTTTCTTCTGTGGATCAGCTGGTGGGTTTGAACCACTGACCTCTAGATAAGCAGCCAATTACCTTAACCAGTATGCCACCAAAAACCAGACAAACAAACAAACAAAACAAAACCCAAACTTACTGCCATGGAGTCAATTTCAACTCATCGTGACCCCCTTTAGGTTTCTGAGGTGGTAAATCTTTATGGAAGTAGATTGCCCAACCTTCCTTCCGAGGAGTGGCTGGTGGGTTTGAACCACAGTCTTCTGGTTAGCAGTTAAATGCCTTAGGCACTACACCACCAGAGCTCCTTAAATTAGTACATAGAGGCTCAAGAATTATTTTGATCCAATGAAAGGAAGAAAATGATGCCATGAGCAAATGAAGGAAGCGAATGAATGAACAAATTAACCAGCTTGAACAGAGAAAAAATTCCAATGAAGATAGGATTTTCTACCTTGTGTGTGCTCAAGCTATATTTCTGGGATGAAGGAATAAAGGCAGCAAGGGCTAAGTGAGGAATTGGCACATAATAGGTAGACAATCCATACTTTTTCGGTGAGTGCATAGTAACAGATGAACAGATGAGGTGTATGGGCAGGAGGAAATGGAGGCAGAAACAAAGAGCTGGGTGCATGGTGGGTACTCAGTCAGCACCACTGAAGGAGTGGATGAAGACGTGAATGGGGGAAGGTATGCGATTGGCCTAGTTAGTGCTCATGCAGGGTTTGTGGGGTGGAGAGAGGAATTGGATTGACATTCATGAGACACAATTTGTAGTACAAGTGCCTGAACCTGGGCCCGCAGGTGGCTGTGTCTGGAGAACTCCCCATGCCATGACACTGTTCCTCAGAGCATCTTCTCCCCCGAATTCTTCTTCAAGGTGTTGGTGAGCAATAGGTGAGCCAGGTCAGGGGGGCTCTGGTGGGGGCTGGAAGGTCCTTGTGGGGTGCCCTGCTGTTCCTCCAACCCTGGGCCCCTCCCCCACCAGAGGTGTGGACAAGAGCACATACTGTGACTACCAACTCATCTTCCTGCTGCACATCCACGGAATCCCACTCAGTGCCAAACGCTCCCTTTTCATCCTCATGGTGAGTGGTTGCCCGGAAGCCGTCCTGCTGAGTGCATGACGGGCCCCAGGCAGCCCAGTCATGCCCCCACCCTGCCCCGTTGGATGCCTGCAGGTGTCCATTAGCATATTTGTGGGCCTGGTGGTCCTCTATCTCCTCATCTGCTTCCTGTGGCCCCTCATGGTCAAGGCCTGCAGCGCCCTCCGCTGGAAGATAAACAGCATCCTCGCCTCTGAATCCTACTACAGCTGCGTCTCCTCTTCATCAGTCCTCAGCTCACCGTCCATCATCAGCTTCAAGATCCCCACCAAGGACATCTCTAACATGGCAGAGAAGGACAAGGCTGAACCTGAGCAAACCTTGCAGAAGAAGTCCCCAACCTGAGCTTCTTGCTCACCCCAGCCTCTACCCACTCTCATCCCTCATGTCTAGTTCTGGCCACTCCCTGGGCCAACCTTGGGAATTAATGCAGCCTGTCACCCATCCCAGGCCTTTCTCTCTCTTTTGTTTGAATTTTCACTTCTCGTTCAGACCCCAATAAAGCCTCATTTCAGGACCAATTATAGGTCTTTGTAAGGACTCATGTTCCCTTGGGTTGCATAGCTGCACCCTGATATCAACATCAAAATTCTTCTATGCCAGCTGGTAAGTCATGACTTCTCTGGGTGTCTGCCAGCTTAGTCCCTCCCTGGGTCCACAGACCTCCATGCAGCCCAGCAGGATGGTTCAGGACCCAGGTCTATTGCCATGACCTTCAGTCTATTCTGATTGTGCCCACACTGTATCAGTTGTTAAGTAGTATGAATGTCAACTCCTATCTAGTGGCTTAAGGAAGAGACCTCAAAGAGGTCCAGATTATTACTATTTTTTTTTTCAATAGTTCCAAGTAGCAAACATTTCAAATGGCCAATGTGGTAATGGAAATTTATGTTGTTGTTGTTGTTAGGTGCTGTCAAGTTGTTTCCAACTCATAGCAACCCCATGCACAGCAGAATGAAACACCGCCCAATCCTGCGCCAGCTCCATGATCCCTGCTATACTTGAACCCATTGCTGCAGCCACCATGTCAGTCTATCTCGTTGAAGGCCTTCCCTTCTTTCGTTGACCCTCCACCTTACCAAGCATGATTTCCTTCTCCAGAGAATGGTCCCTTCTGACAACATGACCAAAGTAGATAAGATGAAGTCTGGCCATTCTCACTTCAAAGGAGCTGCACTTCCTCCAGGACAGATCTATTAGTTCTTTAAGCAGTCCACGGTACTTTCAGCATTCTTCCCCAGCACCACAACTCAAAAGCATCAACTCTTTTTCAGTCTTCCTTATTATTGTTCAGCTCTCACATGCATACGAGGTGATTGAACATACCATGGCTTGTGTCAGGCACACCTTAGTGCTCAAGGAGACATCCTTGCTCCTCAGCACTTGAAAGAGTTCCTTCACGGCCAACCTACCCAGTGCTACACGTCGTCTAATGGCCTGACTGCTACTTCCGTTGTCTTCGATTGTAGAACCAAGCAATGTGAATTCTTTGACAACCTCAATCTTTTCTTCATTTATCATGATACTGCTTATTGGTCCAGTTGTGAGAGTTTTTGTTTTCCTTATATTGAGATACAATCCATACTGCAGACTGTATTCTTCAGTCTTCATCAGTAAGTGCCTCAAGTTATCCTCACTTTCAGCAAACAAAGTTGTATTGTCAGTGTATCTCAGGTTGTTAATGATTCTTCTTCCAATCCTGATGCCACGTTTTTCTTCATATAGTCCGGCTTCTCGGATTATTTGCTCAGCATATAGATTGAATAAGTATGGGGAAATGATACAACCCTTCTTGATTTTAAACCATGTAATGCCCCCTTGTTCCATTCGAACAACAGCTTCCTGGTCAATGTACAGTTTCTTCCTGAGTACAATCAAGTGTTCAGGAATTCCCATTCTTCTCAATGTTATCCATAATTTGTCATGATCCACATAATCAAACGCCTTTGCATAGTCAATAAAACACAAGTAAACATCTTTCTGGTATTCTTTGCCTTGAGCCAAGATCCATCTGACAACAGCTATGATA